CCGGCAGACATTGCGGTCCGACTTCAACCGCTATCCTCTCACCGGCACATGGGGGCTCCTCGCCGTCCCAACATCCGCCGACTTGCATGGGCCTCTCTTCGGCCCGACTCGCTTCGTTGCCTGCCATGGGCTACGAGTTCGTGAAAGTCTCTTATCCCATAAAACCCCAATTTCATCTCACCGACCGGTCCTGCCATCAACGGACCTTTTGGCAACGAACAACGAACCTACTGGGAGGTGGAGTTGGTCTGGGAGGTCGAGTTGGTCTGATAGGAGTCGCTTCATATCTATCCATTAAAATGATCCCGTGTCGTCTTTAATGGAGCTGGCCCAAAACCTTCGGTATCTTACTTAGCTCTGGGGGTCAAAAGACGACGACTCACTGGAGGTGTGGCTTGAGGGGTGGTTTGTTCCGTAAAACGGATTCGTTTCTGGACGAGCGAGTCGTGCGACAGTGAAGCTTCCGGCGTACGTTCTAATGTGCTCAACTCCCGTAGTCGATCTTATCCCCGCAGGCTGCATCCCTACGTACTTGGGCCCAGAAATCTCTCTGTCTGCCTTCGGCTTCGGCTTTCTGCGTTGAGACACGTTGTAACCGTGGCAAAGTGCATTTCGGAGGCTGTGCCGTCTTCATTGTACTCCAATACCACGTAGGCTTATGCGTAACTGCCCTGTACCAGCCGTCGTTGCTGGGCTTGTGATATTTCGTGCGGTCTCGGGGTTGGTTCGGTGCAAGACGCTCGGCGTGCCCGTCTTTGTCGGTTATTCTTGCAACGGATCTGGCATCCTCAAGGAGTTGTTTCGCCTGTCTCTCTAGATCTTGGACGAGTTGCGGAGTCAAGCGGTAGGACTTGATCAAGTCGCCGAGGTTAGCCACACGCCAGTACTTGATACGGCCAGTCGCCAGTACTTGATACGATGCTCGTCCATCTCGGCCTGGACGATGGCGACTGCGTCTTTCTGGCTGAGCTCGTGAAACCCATCCGGTCGCCGCCTGCCGGGCGTCGATGGGCTCCACGTGCGTTGCCCGGGGAACGGCGTGCAGATGACGCCTTGCTTGTCGGCTTCGTTCTGCACGATCTTGGACACACGATCCGCATGAGCTCCCCACGCGCCATTCACCACCCCCAACGCGATCTTGCCACAGGCGCAGCTCTCAGACGGGTGTTCGGCGTCTTGTCGGTCTACTGGAGGAGCTTTTGTAGTCGGTCTTGGTTTGCCTACGCAAATTCGTGTCGCTTGGTGGCTTACTGTGCTGACGCCATGGCACAAGCACCCCTCCCACGGCCCCGTATACAATAGCCCACGGGAACCTCTTGACCAGCGCTCACTCTCTAGGAGGCCCTCACAGCCGCCACGCCTGGTGGACGACCCGTACTACTCGGCACTAGTTGGGCGATCCGGGCGCGATTCGAGGGCAGAAATCCAACAGCCGGGTAGGGCGCGCCCTGCGCGATCTCTCCCCCGTCGGCAACAAGGGGACGTCGTCCTTGCCCTGGTGGTAGCGGCCGCTGGAGCGGAGCCCATGGCTACGGTTCTGATGGTTTGCCGTACAGTGAACATCTGTTGGTCCGGCCCTACCACAATGCCCGTCAACTCGGACCCTTGTGCAACAAAAGGCATCGGTTTGTAACTGAGTTCATGCGCGTGACGTCGAGACGTTTCGAAGAAGCCATGGGTAAGACGATCAGGGCTGGCCGTGTTTCCCGACAGCCTACCTGGGGAGGAGGCAATTGCTCGCCTGGGCGGCCGTTTGTCTGGCGAGTTCTTTTCGACGAACACGGCACGGTGCCGAGAAGCTTGCCGGCCTGGGTCAACAGAACTTCGGGACGCCCTCTACTAGTTAAAGCCGCTAAGTACGGCAGGCGCTTCCGAGGGACACTCGGTAATGTTTGCAAACGAAACTCCCATATACGCCGCCGCCCACTCGAGCTCACAAATCGACGATGCCGCAGGCAAGAGAAGGAGAGAAACCGCCAAACCCTAGAGCCGCTGTGGAAGTACAGCTCATTGGAGTGCCCTCACCACGGGAGTTCCTGCCAAAAGCGGGGCAAGAAAGGGCACCTCGATGTAGCTGGCCTGTCTAGTTTGCTCAATCGCCAGAAGTCGCGGTAATAGAAGAGATGCCGGAGGCTGCGATCAACATCCATAGGCCTCAAGATCGCACCGAAGGCCGCGAGTTTGAAGGGTCTCGCCTCCTTCGAAGACATGAATGAAAAGCTGGACGACTTGGGACGATATTCATGTCGAGGCACCAGCATACCTTGTAGCGAGCCCGGTCCAGCGTGCCGGCTTTGGAGATCCTGCATTATTTGCCGGAGACCACGGTCGCCCAACGGTTGCGGAAACCTGTCCTAAAGGTTCGAACATCTGTTGATTCTGACTTACCGCGTCCGCCGGACGCCGTGCCACGTCCGCACCGACTGCTTTTAGAGAAGTGGGATGCACACCCCCAAAGCACCGAGCGTTCTCCCACCCGCTGGCTTTTTGGGCGATGGTTGTGAGAACAGCTGAGTAGACCCGAGTGTCAGAATGCTAACAGGTGCCACAGGGAGATCTATCGATAACCAACGCCAGGTCTATGGATAACCAGGGCCAGAGTATAAAAGTCGTAATCTATACACTGTTCTATCTATACGTTCTTAAAATTGTGACGTTGGAGAGCCCGCCGGCTCGGGTGGAGGGAGTCCCTGGTTCAAATGGAGCCGTTGCCCTTATTGAGAAGGCAGGATATCCATGCTCTCGACTAGGGGGCCATTCCTGGCGTCCATGGACTGCTGCATCACATCTTCTGGTCCGAACATGGAGCCTCGAAACTCGCCCGGAAACTCGCTTCTTCTTTCGCTATCGTTGTACTTGGCCTCGTTGTACTTGGCCTCGTTTTCATTGTCTGAAAGCTGATAGTCCTCGTGGCGGGAGCCACGAGGGTAGTAGTCCTCTGCGTCGAGTATTACAGGCTCTTCAGCACCGGCCAACATATGCTGACCCACAAACGGACTGTTGTCCCGAGTATCCACCATTTGCGGACCCATACTGCCTTGGCCCGCACTCGGCATTCCTTGCTCAACAGAGTATACTCCAACCGCGCCCACGGGCCTCATGCCACCACCCATACCCATAGACGGACCCATCCCCATACCGTGAGCCATACCCATGGCAGGCCCCATACCAATGCCATGCGCCATACCCATGCCCATGCCTGGTGCCATGCCCATGCCCATGCCTGGTGCCATGCCCATGCCCATGGCCCATGCCTGGTGCCATGCCCATGCCTGGTGCCATGCCCATAGGAGAGTTCACAATGTGCGAGGTCTCTATCACCCGACCCGGGAACCCTTGAAATCTCATCCCACCCATCAAGCCCCCATTGCGACCCTCGTAGCTATTCCGGCCTTCGTGGTGGCCATGATGGTCGTTATGCCTGTAATCACCGTGGTGACCATGATGGTCTCCACCATGTTCTCCGTACTGCTCGTTCCTTCGGGACCCGTATCTGTCGCTGCCGTATCTGTCACTGCCGTATCTGTCACTGCCGTATCTGTCACTGCCGTATCTGTTACTCCCATAGTGGTCTCCGTCCATGAAACTCTGGACACTTTTTGCACCGTCGTCTTCGATGTCAACAGGGAGCATCTCATCATACTCGGATGAACTCTTGTGGTCGTATGAATTCCTCCTACGGTCGGAAAAGTTCCTGTAATCGGAAGTATTTTTGTAAGCTCCGGCTTGTCCTTCCAACGTATCAACCCCGTTAGATGCAGACTGGAAAGCAGCCTCAGGTGGGGCGAAGTTGATGCCTTCACCTGCAACCTCAGTGAGAGCGATAATTACGCAGCAGAAGAAAGACTTCATAGTATGTTTTGATGACTCAATAAAAGACACACCGGCCAGACTGGATCCACGATGGCGCAGCGAGACAGCAATCGGGAATGTTTTCTTCCCAAACAACCACGAATTAAGGGAGAGGTGCCGCTGGTAGAGCGCGCCGTCGCCGCCGCTGCCGCTTGCAGAGTGCGCCGCCGCCGGTTGCAGAGCGCGCCGCCGCCGCTTGTAGAGCGCGCCGCCGCCGCTTGTAGAGCGCGCCACCGCCGCTTGTAGAGCGCGCCGCCGGTGGTAGAGCGCGCCGCCGGTGGTAGAGCGCGCCGCCGCTTGTAGAGCGCGCCGCCGGTGGTAGAGCGCCTGTGGTAATTAAGACTGAAGGTTTCTGGAACGGTTCACGAATGTGGGTCTTTACAAAGATGGGTTGTCAGGGACGTGTTGCTGTGACTAAAAATTATTCCACGAGGATTTCTGCGCTTTTAATGCGCTGATCACCCTGCCCCGGAGTGCCTTGTCCGTTGGGGTCGTGGTCAGCTTGTGACTGGTGACGGTGGTGAACTCTTTGCTTATTCCTTGTCCCATGACGGCTTTATAGTGTGCTTCATTTCTGTATTGCTGTGGAATACTTCCCGCAAGATACTTGTCTTTTGGGCGGCAAGCTTCGGGGTTGATTTTCACTAAGCCTCGTTTCCTGAGTTGCTCAAGTTTTTTCCTCTTTAACTCTTTCTCCATCTGTGCCCGTTTCTCACGCTCGGCGAGCACACGCGGGTCCACGTAGTTCTCACCCACCCAATTGCCCCAGCCCGGAATCACTGTCGGCTGAATCGTTTCCACGGCGTCCTCCACAACAGCCAACTCCTCCTCCTCCAAACGTTTCGCGAACTCCGTTTCCGCATCTTCGCCGGTTAGGTTGAAGGCTAACTGAACCACGGCTGAATTCGACATCTTGGACAACTCGTCCGTCGTCTCGCTCCTAGTCATGCTCGTCTCAACAGGCTCCGCCTCCACCGCTCGTCGTCGTTTCTTAAGTCTGAAGTACGACTCCACGAACGGACTCGGCGACTCCTCCGCCAGGCCCAAGATAGACAGGTCAATCCCGTCTTCCGGACTCTCCAGGATTTTTCTCTTAGCAGCGCTGGGAGACGCACTCTTTCTGGATATCGTGTCCATCAGGTGCGTTGCAGAGCCATCCATTACAGAACTATCTTCTGAGCCACGTTCATCCTCCGAACGAGGTTCAGCCGCGACCCCGCTTTTGTCGCCACGGTTCTTGTCACCGGCGGCTTTCTCAGAAGCCCCCTTGCCATAGGCATCTTCCTCGTCGCGTTTGGCATTGAGGAACTTGGTAACGAGGTCTTCTTCTGCTTCGCCGTCGTCGGACGGTTCCTCTCGGTCTGCGGCGGCGTTCATTTCGCGTGCCCGTTGCATGAATTTCATGTTCCAGATGCCGCCGCGGTTTTCCTCCTCTTCATCCTCTTCTTCACTCTCTTCATCCTCCTGATCCCCATCCCCCTGGGGGTCAGCGCGTCCGGCCATGTTGTCAAGGAAGGCCTTGAAGGCGTCGGCGTCTTTAGCGGTTTCTTGGATGGTGCGTTCCATTGCCTTACCACCGAAGCGGCGCGCCATTTGAGACCATGCGCGACGTGCCTTTTGGCCGAGCATGAGTCTTGCCTCGGCTCTTTTGACTTCCCACTCCTGACGCAGCCGTTCAGCCTCCTCAGGGTTCTCGAGTCGCAGTCTCTCCATCAGTCGCTCCTGTTCACGTTGATGCTCCTTCCGCCGAAAGTGCCGCGCCTTCTTGCTCTTCACCTTCTTCCGCCTAGCGGCATCTCGCATTTCCGCAGCCATCGCCAACCGCAACTGACGGGCTACCCGCGCACTTTCGACCTCCGCGTGCCCTTCCGCCTTCGGGAACAAACCTTTCAAGACGATGTCATCTGCCCGCGAAGATCCAGTAACCTCACTCGTTAACTGCCCCGCATCCGATGGCAATCCCTCCCGACTCGCACCAAACACCAACGTCTCACCCGGACGCGTCGTCAACTGTTCCCGAATCTCATGATGGAAACGCGAAATCTCCTTTTGCACCAAATGCAAACCCGCCTCACGGGCCTGCCGCCGCACCCCCACGTGGTTCGTCACAGGCTTTATTACCTACACACGCACATGTAAACATACCACCGAGGCTTGGCTTTGGCCGCGGCTTGGCTTTGGCCGCGGCTTGGCTTTGGCCGCGGCTT